CAACAAACAGAGCAGAATAAAATTCAAAACAAAATTCCCCTGCCGTTGTGAACAAAACTCTACACTATAGTTACTACCAGATTCGAAAACTGAATTTATTTAATCCTCATATTGTATTGTCAACTTCTTCAACCCTCCCACACAACACATTTTTTTTAAGCTCTGCGATCGCACATTGCTAGCTGAAATGTACCTCAGGAGTCATAATTAAACTTACCTTATATGTTAATGTACAAAAGCTGTGATTGTCATCATTTTTGCACTTATTTAGCCATGAACCAGAGTATTGCACAGTGAAATTTTGACCTGATGAAAAGTCAAGTACTCAACAAAGTCAGTAGGATTCACCCTCTGGGGACCATGAACGTCTGTATCCAGAAAAGCAGGATGCATCTCTGTGAATTAGCCTTTCTGACTTCATACCTGACATGATACATTGAGTCAGAAAGTACTGTACATAGGTGACATTTTCAAGGCTATCCAATTGAAGACCCTTGAAATGGTACCAATGGTACAACTTTCCAATATTACCCTTTAATAAAAGTAATGGTTTCTAAGAAATGTATTTTACAACAACCCTGTAACTGTGTAACCATTCCAGCAAATTTAGTTCATTGTGCTTCAAAAAGAGCTGTCAATATGTTGTTGCACTAGTTGATTTCAGTATTGTCAAGGGTGTGTGAAAATCCACAAAAATTATATAATATGTATATCTTAACAATCAGACAGGCATCCTGGCAAAGCCAAAATAGGAATACCATTACTAACTGTTCATCTAGTTACCTTTTGTTCAATAAATGTAGCTGACTGTACGCCGTCCCTAAAAGGTCCAGTGTGTAACATTTAGGAAGATGAATTGGCAGAAATGGAACGTAATATTCAAAGGTATGTTCATTTTTATTAATGATTTTCTCAAGTTTTGGATCCACCAAAGTTTCTCCTACACACTTGGAATTAAGAACATTTTAAATTAAACAGGATTAGTCTGCATATTGTTGTTACTTTGTTAAATGTGTAGTTTGGTGTAAAGTTGGATGCTGATTGGACAGCAGCAGCACTGAAGTTAGTAGAAACTCAATTTTATGATCAATAAATGAAGTGATTGCAATGTTTCCACTGATGGCATACATGAAAACATCAGGGTTTATGGTTAGTAAAAGTGTAATGTTCCATGATAAAAGTGCAATTGGTGGTAGCAGAATGTCTTTCTTATTTCAAAATTTTTAGTTTTCTTTTTCTTATTCTGACAAACAGCACTGTGCTTTGTCACTGCCATGTGTGCCAGCTCCCTTTACGTGGTTTGTTTGTGGACTCAGTGAACAGATGCACAGGTGCAGATGTACAGCTCAGTACAGTAGAAGCAGACCCAGAAACTCACTTGGCATGTTGCCAGGTTGGTGAACTTCACCCCATCCCAGCTGTGATAGAAGATCAAAAGGGACAAAGCCCCACAGCCCTCAACCAGTCAACTACAGGCCAGGCGCACGGGGACCATATGCAGACAGACATGACACGGACACTGACCTCGGTACCAGACAAGAGTGCAATGTCTGAACCAGGGGCTTGTTTGTCATAGTAATGATCAATTTTGAAGAAATGGCGCAAACTGCCGCACAACTTATTTGTCACATTGACCATACAAAGTCAGGGAACATTATCTTTTTTTTGTTTCTTCCTTAAATTTCACTACTCTTACAGCCCCAATCTTACCGTCTATGGGTTTAAATAAATGACGTAAAACATAATTTGACCTGATTATAAGTAATATCAATGTGGTGTTGAATACAAATAGCAAATCTGGACATCATCAGACTGAATACAAGTGAGTAAGTGTGTAATCTAATGTGTTGTTTTTTTCCACCAGATTTGCATTAGCAATGATAATGTTTGTATTTCATTATTTATCGTGTTATTTTTTAAAGGAGGAATAGAATGTTAAGGAATTTGATGCTGGTGAGCAATATATAATTTGTGACTGCCATTACTTCAACGTTTTTATAGAAAAAGGAAATTTACTTGGTTGGATTGTCAAAAATACAAAAATACAATACAACATACCAAAAAAAAAGTTATTAAACCAAGCCTTCACAGGATTAGACATGAATCTCTTTTGGTGATAATGAAAAAATAATCTTTCAAGAACAGACCTGAATATACAAACTCGCTAAACTGAGTTTTCAAGCACAAACTAGATGAACAAGCTTATAAACCTAAAGGCATAAAACCTCAACTCACAGGCACGTCTTCATGACTACATTCCTGAAAGGTTTAATATTAATAATATACTAATGTCCCTATCCAACAGTTCTGCACAAGGCAAATATGTTTTCTCCCTTCACCACTTCAAAAAATTGAATTAAACAAAACAAAAAAAGTCAGTTCAGGTCAAAGCCAACCCCACATGCACAGACTTGCACACACACACACACAGTCTGTGGAGGATTGCGGTGGACTCCTGTTCTTTAGCGGCTGGTTGCGTCCCCTCGTGTTACTGACAGCTCCTAATGGCGGTGGGAAACCTTGCGTAATTAGGAGACGGTACGCCTGCCATGACGCCTGTCTTTCAGAAGCCAATTCCCCCTGATGTTTTCCTATACCACCACAAACCCAGCAACCCCCCCTGCCCACACACACATTATCACGCCTCCACCTCTTTTTCTCCTCACTGCCCCCTGAATGGATGCCGTCTGCTCTCCCTGGCGCAGTGCCCCCGGTGGCAGCACGTGCGTGGTGTATCCCTGTGTACCGGTACCTGGGGGAGGTAATTATCGAGATGAGCAGCATGAGGGAGGAGGGCCTAGTGTGCGGGTGTGTGTGTGTGTGTGTGTGTGTGTGTGTGTGTGTGTGTGAAGGGAGGTATCATGGCTGTGTAGTGTATCTGGATGCCCAAACTTAGACACGGCCCATCAGGGGCTCCCCGCACTAAGCAGGGGGAGATTTATATTTATATTTCCCTCGTTTCTTTCTTTTGTCATTTCAGCCTCTTTCTGACAGTCTTCACAGTATTGTTCCTTTTTCTTTTGTCCCTCATTCTCCTAATTTCTGTTTCAACCTGTTCTGCACCCCTCTCTCCATCTGTTTGGTCTCATTCTCCTGATTTGAGCCATTAACTGAGCTTTACTTTCACACCTCCATCCACAGAGCATTGAGGTTTCAACACTCGACTCACCAATCAAGTTTAATGAATCCCAAACCTCCACCACGCTCCAAATGGCACAGGCGACAAAGTTGCATTACATCTAAATATCTCTTAATAATTCCACCCTCGCTGTTGGCATCAAGTGGCTCCACCAAGATTAGGTAATGCCTGAGCCAAGGAGAGACTGAAATGGCAGAGAGGGAATAAGAGACGAGTAATTATTCTCTTCTTATGGGTGCTCAGAGTCAGGGCCGTGGGTTTGTGATGCTTCACGAAAGAGGAGGAAGAAATGAGAACCGTTTGTGAATGAGTGGACTTACAGGCATTTGCAGGCCAACATGTCAACAAAGGAGGCAAACGCTGGGATACCTGAGGACACGGCAAAGCACAAATAACGTTAATGAGCAAAACTTGACACTTCCTATGTAAAATCACTATGTTATCATTTTTCTCCAGACTGAATACATATACATGATAAACCTTTGAAAAATTAAGGTCATTGGTGTGATTAATTTTTCTCTACAGGGGCTGATGATGTGGTGATAATGGAGCAGGTTTGTGGTCTTCGGTCAGTGGTCCTGAAGGAGAGAGATATAACCTTTGTCTCAGGGACGGCAGATATACGAGCCAGGCGAGCGCCAAGGATTATACACCGAGGTCCTCGCCGGGAGATGGAGAGGGAGGAAAAAGCCTGTGACCGTAGAATAATTTCAGCCTCTCTCCCTCCCTCGAGACCACACGCTGTCTGAGCAAACCACCACCTCCCCTCCACCCCCCACTTCGCCTCCTCTTCCTGCTCTCCCCCCCCTTCCCTCCACCTCTCCCGCCAATCCCCTAACTGCCTGCTGATGCCGGATGTCTCTTCTTCTCCTCCTCAACGTACTGGGGAGAGAGGCGGGGAGGTGGTTGTGGTGGGTTGTAGGTGGTGGAGGGGAGAGAGAGAGCGAGAGAGAGACAGAAACTAGAGTCAGGTTCCTGTGCTGCTGCAGCTAAGTGCTGCAGCAAATCATCCCCGCATTAGGAATATGGGCAATTAGCACTGTGGCACATCCCTCCAGACACACTTGCGCTTACACGCCCGCACACTCATACACAAGCACACATGTACGAACAAAAATATATCTCCACATCAGTATTCACGTGTAAAAAAACATCTATACGCATCTATATTTATGTGAGATTGGTGTGTGGCCACTAGTAAAGAATTATTTGTGTTTGTTATGTTGTTTGGAGATTATATTTTTAGTTTCTACATCATTTAATGGCAAAAATTATCACTGGATTTTCAGTTTTCATTCATATTTTACTGCAACACAGACATCAAACATAACTACAACAGTAAAAACCTTTTAAATAAGGCCGTCAAATCACAGGTAGCATCCATACCACTATCGATAAACATCCCTAAACAATAAATCCATCTTTAGCATTCAGGTGTATGAAGGAGGATGCAGAGCGGGAGTTGCCGTTCCACCTTAAGAAAGGTACCTTAAAAGATTATCTCGGTTATTTCACCGCCACTGAGCCGGCACTAATAGTCCAAGGCAGATATTGAAGAGCAGCGCAGGGCCGCAGAGATCTATTAGAAATTCCCATCTACGCGCCTCATACATATTGATTTCTGACACCAAGCAGCAATGAAAGGCCCAGGGGAATAATATATTTAGCAGGGTTTGCAGTGAGGAGGTCACAGAGTGCATAAAGATTAGCTGCACAGACCCCTGACAGGACGATGTGTGAGCCCAAATTGTAGACAGACAGGCACGCACTTATGCACACAGCCAGACACACAAACATGCACACACATACACGATATATATATATATATATATATATATATATTCATACTGTATATACTCACACATTCAAAGTGGAAAGCTTTTGTGTGTATTCATGATGTTGGAACAGGGCAAACTGGGGCTGCTCCTCTTTTTAAAGTTGTTACCTCTCCCTGGATGGAAGAAAAATAACAAGAAAAACACAGGCTTAGAGTCAAACCTCAACAGCTGGAAATATTGTTTTTTTTATTTTTATACCGCAACCTTTTGTCTTTTTGTGAAAAATAGTCCACTGTTAATTGATTCAGCCAATATTCAACACTGTGTTTAGAACGATCTCATGCTTCTCATCAACAGCAAGGGCTTCCAGTGATCCTGTTTACTACTGTGTCTGCTGAAATGCACGCAGTAGGGTTAGTCGAGGGCAGAGCATACATATGCAGGAGGTGGACACAAGAACAGAAACACCTGTACAGTCTATTGCCATCTAACACAATGGACTTGCAATGTATATTATCTTTATAAAGCTTTTTTAAAGGGAACAATGGTTTATTACAAGGTTGGTTTTACTTTACAAGTCAAAAAGGGCAACGTGTAAAGGAGCCCACAGTTTTGCCAGATAGACTCCAACTTCATTTAGAGGTGAAATCCAAAGTGTATTGTAATGCCGCTGCCAATGTCACACTCATGCAAATACTGCGTTAACCATTCTCATGCATAGGAAACCATAAAAGACAACAGGGTTTTTTTTACCCAAATGTTAGTGTTATGTTCTCAATTACTGGGGTTACTTACCCAAAGTAAAAGGCATGGTTATGAACTGTTACAGTCTACTCTAGCTCTCTTTAAAAGCCTCGTCCTACCAACTGGGGTACCCGCAGACCCCCTAAATATACTTTTTGTCAGCACATATGTAACCATTTTTGAGGCTGCAGAGAGAATTTTGCTATGATGGTTGTTTTTTACAGTAGTTTGTTCTCTATAGAAGGTAGTCGTATGAGGGTTAAACATATACGTCACTATTTGTTTCTGATTATTAAAGGTCCAGTGTGTAACATTTAGGAGGATCTGTTGGCAGAAAGTGAATATAATAATCATAGGTATGTTTTCATTGTGTATAATCACCTGAAAATGGGAATTGTTGTGTTTTTGTTACCTTAGAATGAGACGTTTTTTATCTACAGATGCTGCGAGTAGCCTTCCATGGTGTCCACCATGTTTCCATGGTAGCTCAGAACGGACAAACCAAACACTGTTGTAGATAGGACCTTTCGCTTTTTTCACAAGTTTCGCGACCACCATTGTTTCTCCTCACAGTCGTTTTCACTCCCAGGTCATCAGATACAGGTGCGAGCCGTGTTCAGTTAGTTAATCTGCAACTTCACCACTAGATGCCACTAAATCCAACACAAAAGTCCTTTAATATGTGTATCTGTTGCGATTTTGAATGTTATATTGTTTTGTACAACTATTAATGAAAACAAATGTTAATAAAATAACCATATTTTAGCTTGAGTGAATGATCAAACAGTAGTCAACTTTTGACCCAGTGATTTTGAGTTTGTAGCTGTCCCTCATTGCAAATAAAGAAAAGCTTGCAGGTGTACAACTAAGCATGGTTGGTCAAAGTTGAACTAGGATGTCGGTCTGTAAGCAGTGGTTGATGATTCAGATGAACAGTTTGAGCTGTAATTTTACCGTTGTCTATTTGCCCTTCCAAACAAATCTGACTAACCTGCTGGCTTGTGGTTGAATATCTATGACTGTCTGACTGCTTGTGCTTGTCTTTGGATCTATTTTTAGCTATCTATTGGTGCTATGTTCCATGATGTAAGCAGTTGCTGTGGATTACAATTTTATTATAACTAATAGAATCGATCCCGCAGGTTGTGATAAACTTCTATAAGTTCAGCCTTTTAAGTTTATTTTTTATTCACACTGTTGGATAACTAATGGTTCAACTCAATGGTCATTTTCAAGGCTATAGTTTATGGTGGTATTGCACAATTTAAAAACATGTTTTGTCTACTATCTCCTCTTTCCACCAGCATTTTGTAGTCTTGGTTGGAGTCCTGCATTGTTGGAGCGGTGGTAGCGGTTGTAGTGGTGGTGTGGTGGCGGTGACCGGAGTGATTCTGTGATGAGCTTGTCCAGGTGAAAGGGTAATTGCTTCAAAGGGGATCAGACCGCCGAGAGCGAGGCTGCGACCAACGAGAGGGAGGGCTCGACTCCACCGCGAAGGCACTTAACACCGCCTCCCCATCCATCCATCCTCCAAACCCCTCCCTGCTCTCACCTAGCTCCAAGCTCCTGCATGCCCAGTGCCATTGCCATCACTGCCTCCTATTTATTTTTTTTTCAGTCTTGCTCTACCCTCCTCCTTCCTCTCCTCCTTCAAAGCACCACTCGGCAGCCTCTTCAGAAATTACAATCGCTCAGGGTTTAGGCAATTTGACCAAATGCAGGGCCTGCATGTAAGGATTGGGAATGGGAGGAGGGGGCGGTAAGGACTGCAGGGCGAGCCTTGGGGGGGATTGGAATGAAATTACCAATTCAATGGCTGAAGCACCGCACGACAGTGGCAAACCGTGGACATAAAATGAGGATTATCCGATTTTAGGAGGGGGCGAAAGTGCCACAAAGAGTCTCAAGTCCACGAGAACTAACGCCCCCAAGTTTGCTGTGACAATTGTCTAAACCAAAATATAATTTTTTTGTCAAACCCACTCATTGTTTTGGGAAAAAACATAGAGATTTGAGAAAGTAATGTTCTTTAAGCATCTTATTCATCTCCAAATCACAGAGAGTGTATCATTGTTGTTGAATTGTAGTGGGGAAGTGAGTGGGCAGAGAAAAGATGTGTCTTTCTGGCTGACGACATTTGCTCATTTCAGGAAGAAATACAAAACAAAGATGGAGCTGATTTCATACACTGCCTCCCGAAGTTACCAGAGAGTTGAATTTCCACAATTCAAAAAACAATGGAAATAACAGGTGAGGATAAGATGGCAAAGATGACTTTAAATTCAAAGATAAATGCCAGTTTTACAGTGTTAAAAAACACTGAATCCAATTCCACGCAAAGAGACGTAATATACAGTACCATGGGTCATAAATGCCTAGAGGAGACCTCCTCCCCTGTGCCATTTGAAACACTGGAGAAGGTATTCAGCGAGCATTGCTTGCTCTAAGGAAAATACCTGATTTCCCACTCCATCATGGGCTGAATGGTAAGCTTTGGGCTGACAGTCCATTCCAGAGTTTTCTATCTCACTTTTGTATAGTATAAGTCCAGAAAGGAAAATGCTTGAATCACATATAAGCAACACCATGTCAGTATCCTCTTTTCTGCTGATGATTGGACAAACAAAATCAGATACTTTCGCCTTAGATTTAATGTCTTTACACTGATGCACACTTGTCTGAAGGTGCCGCAAAGCAAGACCTAAATACATTCTTGTCACTTGTATTACCTGTCAAGGCAAAGTATGGCAGCCTGATGAAACCTCACAGTTCGCATGACGTGAAAAACAAGCATAAGCTAATCCTAATGCAAACCAGCGAATTTGATGAATCACAATCATTCTCCGTGCCGTGATGAATGGCGATGATGCTAACTATGACCATTCATCAACCCACCATCAGTTATCCTAAGGTGGTTTAATGTTTCATCCACTCAGACCTCAGAGAGCGTGGACAGCCATCCCTCATCACAGCCGACTGGGAGAGCTCCACACACATTTCAATCTTGTCTTGTCATCTCCCCCTCAGGCGCAGACACCCTCCCTCAAAATCATCATTTTTATCAGCCCCAGTAAACCTTGGACCCTGGACAGCATTGAAGATGCAGATTTTTATGGACTAGCGAAAAATAAAAAATCAGTCCAGCTGTGCGAGCCTGGTGTGTTTGTTTATGTGTGTGTGTTTTGTGTGTATTTTTGGTGGTAGCAGTAATGGGGACAGCCAAGACGAAGCTGAAGGGGTAGCTGCAATGACAGGAGGTCTTTCAGCGTGTTGGTTACAGTAAATTAGCATTCGAGCTGCACCGCGCGTTTAGCACTTTGCGATTGGGTTCAGCAGAGGCCTCGCCCAGACTGTCCCTGGGGGAAACGTCGGCAGCAGTACAGCGGCACGATGGGCGGTACCGGGCTGTCAAAATTTGATAATAAAGCACCGCGGTGCTGGCGGATAAATGCGTGTGAGAGGGCATCCATCTTGCAAGCGTGTTGCTGAAGAGGATGCTGCTAAATGACAGTGAGGGCTGGTGTGTGTGTGTGTGTGTGTGTGTGTCTACATGAACGAGATGGCTGTGGGGAACCAATGGGAAACCAACTTTTCTTTGCAGCTCAGTGTAGCCGTCTAAAAAAATCTCATATAAAGAATTATTATTCAAGTGTTAATGTAGAAAGGAAGGAGGACAAGAAAGAGAAAGATGGAGGAAAATTAAGAATGGGAGGACTACAGAGGAGGAAGAGAAGAAAAAGAAAGACAAGGGAAGAGCGACATGGAGGGAGAGAGATGGAGGAAGGAAATTAAATGTCGGCCGGGCACTTAACCTTTCCCTAATAATGTGTGGCCTGCTGAACCAGCAAAGTCCCTGATGTTTTATCAATACTCCTAATTAATGTGCAGCTGCCATATTTTTGACAGTATTTATACAATATGGCTGAGTAATGCAATCGATAATATCAGTATTCATATTCTATATCCCTCACCCTTTTAAAATGTGCATGCACTTTACCACTTCAGCAGTTGTGGCAAAGTTAAAGTATGGTGATCTATTTTTCTTATTGTCAACAAATGCCATTAAAAGATCAAAACCAACAATACATTGATCGCAGGTATATGATAGCTTTGGTTAGTGTGTGTTAAATTGGTCCAGTAATAAAGAGGAGAAAAGAGAAAGGTGTTTCTGCTGTAAAGCAAAAACATTTCAAATGCAGTTTAGAGAGTACGTGTAGGTAAGCTGTAATCATGATTGGCAAATTTCAGTCTTTGAATTTGTACATTGACGGAATAGTTGTTATAATAGTCTATATTTAGAAAGACACAAAAGGACATTGAAAATACAATGATGGAAAAGAAATTAAGAAAAAAATATGTTTATATAAAAATAGCATTATATTGGGGAGGATTCTGTGAAAAAGAATTACATTTCCT